AAATTTGTCTACGCAGAGCAAAGTCAATTTCGTATACACAACTGTATTTTACAGTTTGTGTCATATTTACTATTTTTAACTCTTATTTAACACGGCTAGTTCAGCAAAAGAGCAAAAAGTGCAAGATAGTAAGTGCAATAGAGAATTTCAAACTTGGTGAATTTAGAAATATGGCATTATATAAGTAAAGGCGACAAAGCAGTGTGCGTTTTATGTTCTGGAACAGTGATATGCAGAACATCATCTATAAAACGGCATTTTGATACAAATCACAAATTCTCTTGTCAAAAAAGTGAACCACAGCAAAAATAATTGATTGCTTAGAAACCGTTTGGCAGATGACTCCAATTCAGCATGCATTCTACTAAAAGTAACATTTTACAATCCTAATATAAATTATTTGTCATCCGCACAATCTGCAACAACAGAAGTCACACTGATTTTACTTGAATTTGAATTACTCGTATAACTAAAACATTTACCACCATACAGCACACAAAGGGTATTTTTTCGTAGTAAATAAAAAGTTTTGAGTGTTGTTAGTATTTAGTTTTATTATTTTCCCAATAATCACAAGTCAAAATTATTTGACGGCACGTCTGTACATCATTAAACACTTCTTGAGAAAAAAATGGCACGCTGATCCATAAAAGTTCGCCACCCCTGTCCTACTGCATGTCCTCCCGGAGTTGGAACAAGAAGTACCGGCCACCAGAACGTGTGATTCAGCACGATGGTGCATCCGCACATTTCTTGATTGCGGTGCCTAATCACCTCCATGTTGCATATCCCGGGAAGTGGATTGGACGCAGTGGACCTATTGCTTGACCTCCAAGCTCCTCAGACCTCAATCATTTGGATTTCCTCTTCTGGAACCACCTGAAATCGCTTGTGTATGAGACACTGGTGGCTACAAAAGAGAATCATCGTCGCTTCAGCTGATATCGCCAGCACACCGGATTTGTCTGAACTCCTTGGACTTCGTCCGTAGGTGTCGACTCAGCTATGACCTACGCAGCAGCAACTTCGAACAATTCCTGTGACAATCCCTTTTTGTTAAATTTCTGGCGTCAAACCGTTATGCATTGTATGCATTGTTCACATATTGTAAATATACTTTGCATCTCTTTTTGCCTCTTTTCATTCATCGCGACATATCACCCTTCATAACTGTTTTTGCGATTTTCATCGACTAAACGTGGTCTGCGATCCCATGTCCTATGGTGATTTGTCGTCCCCGTGCTGCCTACTATCACCCCTCTGAATTTGTCGGTCGAAATCAGCAACACTCTTTATATGTGTTTGTATATGGCGCAGGAAAATGACGAAATTAGGAATTTCATGAAATCCCTAAGAGATAGGATCATTTGACGCAAGATTGTAAAATAACGTCTCTTCAAGGTCATTTCCATGATGAAAGTAAGTGATTTTATCAAACCCTGAACTGTTTCAGTGAAATGATGAAATGAACTAGTCAGGATTTGCATTGGCAAAATGCTGTTCAGGAGAGGGGGGGGGGACACCTCGGGGGTTGAGTCCTTGTACTTCCTATCCCTACAGGTAGTACTATCGATCCCCTAAATATCAAGCCCATATCTTTAAAAAAAAATGCCTGACTTGTCCATTTCATCATTTTACTTAAACAGTTCGGGGATTTTTGATCAAATCACTTACTTACATAAGGGAAATGACCTTGTAGAGACGTTATTTTAATATCTTTCGTGAATTGGTGATCTCCCTTAGGGATTCGATGAAAGTCCTAATTTCATCATTTTCCTAAGACATATATATTAACGCCAATAAAATATTTTAATGATCATCTAAAAATCTGTTTTATTTTTATTTTTCGTAAATATCAATAAAAAAGAAGGTTTTTTTTTTTTAAAAAAAAAAAAATTAACTTGATCATGATACAAGACAGTTACTTGCACTCGTCGAATTGTTAAACTGCTTTGCTCACTATACAAAATTCGTCGTACTAAAAATGTATTATTTGCTCAGAAGAAAATGAAACAAAAGCAGGAAATGTTATCGAGAGTTACCATGGAAGCACATTAAAGGTAAATACAATTTAAGAAATAGCACACACACAACATTTGAAGAACATCTAAGACATTTTATTTTTACGATCGGATAATTACCAAAAAAAAATGTTTCAATAATAAACCGTGATTTAAAAATGTATAGTAACTTTTAACTCTTTAGAATAAAAAAACTTATAAAAAGAATTTAAGATTTAATAAAATGAAACTTTTTTTTTTGATAATTTTGTTGCAACTATCCAAATATTTTTCATAGAAGCAAAAAGCAAATAAATCAAATCAAAGAGCAAATAAATTCATATTTGCTCAATTCTCCCCCGCCCCCTTCTTTATCGGTATATATATATTGGAGCTTTATCATATTTTTATAATAAGGTAATTTATAAATAAGCTGAAAAATGGTTTTGAACCGACGTATACATTTAAATGACTTTTTCTGCATTGAAAACAATTTAATTTAAATCAAATCCTCCGCCTCCCTCCCCAAAAAGGGAAAAAATAAGTTTTATATTACTTTGCGATAAGATTATTAAATAAAAATTTTCAAAATAAAATATTGTTATTGATTTAAAAAAGAGAGAGAGAGAGAGAGAATATCACAATATTATATTAATTTTTCGAATTTACTATTTTCAAATCTAATGAAGAATTCAAAGAAATAATTATATTTTGTGTAAATCTTTCATGCTCTTTTGCTATAATTTTACTATCTCTATCTATCTATCTATCTCTATATATATACATTTTTTGGCGCTGCGATCGTCACCCCCACCCACACTTGTACATTCTCTTGCAAGGGAGACACTGCACAAAGCAGTCGCAATAAATGTTTATGCCTTAAAACTCGCATTTTTAATTAAATACAGTACCATTCGCATTAATAACATTCATATATATATATATACATTCATATATATATATACATACATTAATATATATATATATGCATACATTAATATATATATATACATACATTCCTATATATATACATACATTCATATATATATATATATTCAACATTTTACTCAAGGTTATTCACTCGAAAAATTCTTATAACCTTAGTAAAAGAGAGTATTTTCGATACTCTCAATGGAGGAACATCTTTTAAAAAAATAAATAAGTCTCTATAATATCTACGCATTTCAGTAGAAAGGTGATGCGTATGCAAATGTCAAGAACAAAATGTCATAGGCGCCGTGAGTGTAGGCAAAATGTGTGTAGTCGGGCAGCTCTAAGCCACAATAACAGGAAAAACGGAGGTGCAATTAAAGACATTCTCTACTAGTGCAAAAGTGAGTTCTTTCGTGAAATATGGCTAGAAGAAGTCACCTGGATGACTCCATACTATAATGACTTCACTCAGCTCTTGGTTAACTATTTATTTCCATATGAAATTCATCAAAAGAAAGATAAATAAAATGGTATATTCTATTACAGTTCAATATCAATTTCGAGTCTCTTTCGCACTCTCTTCCGTTCCTGGATTTTCCAAGCCAGGAGACCGCTGTACTTCGCGGGCTGGTCCGTAATCACTTCGAGTCTCTTCCGTACTCTCTCCCGTTTCCTCGATCTTTCAAGCGAGGAGACCGCTGTACTTCGCGGGCTCGTTATCGCTCTTCCTATCGCTCAAGGGACGGCCGAACCACTCCCTTCAAAGATCCAGTCTCTTTTCCCCCTCGTCCGGACTCTCTCGCCCGTTTTATATCATCTCTTTCTCCTAGTCAGCCACCGCTCATCTCTTTGTCGGCCTCAGTCCCCATCCTCCTGCTGCCGCCTTCCGGTCTCGGCTCCCTTGATCGTCGTACCCCTCTGCCGCGCTACATCCGGTATCGTTTCCGCTAGTCCCAAAGAGACGCCAAGGCTGGGTGTACATTTGTATGTTCTCAGTCGCGACGTCGCCTCCGAGTTCTGGGAAAATGAACACACAATGATAAGGCGCCTCTTTTTGACAGTCCGGTCAGCTGGGCAAAAAAGGTGCCGAAACTCGACCACCCAGCTACGAAATTCCTTCCCAGCAATTAGGGAAATTCCTGGAATTTTCGCAGTTTCTGTCGGCAAGGGATCTGTTGGAAAATAGGGGAAAGAGATATGCTTCGTCACAATACGTGAAAGAATGCTGATGGAGGGGCGTAGTTTAACCAGAGTTGGGAATTAACAAAAATGTCGTTTCGCTCCAAAACAGAGGTCCAGCTGTTAAAGGTATTCGTGGTGGTCGCTCTAGGAAAACATCTGCAGTGCATGACTGATATATCGTCCCGCAGGCGAAAAGAGTCCGATACCAGTCACCAAACGCCATTGCTCTACAACTGTGTGCAGCAACAGGGCGGCAAATATAGCGGTTTACTGTGGCCAGACGCCTTCACAAAAGTAGCCTTTTGGCCCGCCGTCCTGGACGCTGCATCACTTTGAAAGTTGGTTATCGGCGGTACCGTTAGAGTTGCATAAGAAGCACAAAAAACTGAACATCTGATCAATGGTGTCCTACTAAATTTGATACATTGTCATCGAAAATTCAAAAAGAAATGTCTCTTTTTGAAAATGGAGGAAGATGTGAATATAGAAAGAACATACTCCCGTATAATGAAGATAAAGCCTACTAGAGTAGAGTCTGAACGAGCATTTTCTTCAACAGGACAATTTGTAACAAAAACAAGTAATATATATATATATAAAAAAAAAATTAAATCAATTTCTACTTAGATCAACAAAGAATATTTTTATTTTAGTTACTTTTTATTAAATAGTTACAATTAATATAAATATGTTTATACATATAACAGAATCACAATATTAAGGGACAAAATAGAAAGCGATTTTCCTTGCAATTTTCCATTTTCCTTTCTATATAGGGTGTTGGACTATTCTTTGTTTGTTTGTTACTATTTATTCATTAGTTAAATTTAATTATTCTAATATAATAGTATAGTAAAAAAGAAATCGCGTTCTCAGAAACTAGGCCATCCCAGGTGGGATTCAAACCCACTACTTTTGGATAAGAGGTCCAACGCGCTGTCCATTGCGCTACAGGGACACACGAACGATTTTCCTTTCTATATATGCTGTTGGACTATTATTTTTGTTTGTTACTATTTATTCATTTTTTAATTTAATTAATCAATTAATATTTAAAAAATTGTATAAACATCAAGTGTCATCCACTACAAGTTAAAAAAAATCTATTTGAAGTTGAATGGATAAATAGAAAGTGTATATTATTAACGATTCAAAATTTGAACAAGAATATATATATATATAACAAGAGAGTGAATTAATAGTGGGGATTGAATAAAAAGCTGTTTGAACGACGAAATGTTCGACGAACTGTGTTTTTTAAAAGCTCATTTACAGAAACACAGGAAATGAAGAAATGTTTTTTTTTTAATTTCACCAATTTTTTAATTATGGTTTTAGTTTTATTATGTAATTGCAACAATGCTAATGTATAAGTATTTTTCATAAGTAGTCCAATCTTAATACCTGAATTGAAATAGAAACGCGGGAATGCAAACCCTAATGTATATGTGTGTGTGTGCGCGCGCAATATGAAATAAATTCTTCTTGCCTTTATAAATAAGTAAAAAGTAGATATTTATTTTCTTTAAATCAGAGATGGGCAATTATGTAAAAACAATATCTTGAAAAATTAGTATTCATATATAAATATATATCAATTTAGAACTGATGAAGAATTTCATAAAAAAATATTTAATCCAAAACAAGATTAATTATGTACAAAAAACAACAGCTGAAAAGTTTCGATTTTTAGATGGAAAAAAAAATTATGTAATTTTTACATTAAGACAAATAATTGTTGCATATTATTCCATTGAATTTCAAAACAACATTAAACGGCAAATCAGGTAAACTTTGAATAAATCTTCGACTTTCAATTTAAATTATATTTGTTTTGATTTCGCGAATCAAATGGCAGTTTTCATTAGCGACTTTCATTCAAAGGAGAAGAATAACATCAAAGATTTTCTTTAAATATTTTTCTGTGGAGAAATGTTTTTTTGTGTTGCTTGTAATTATTGAAAGACTTTGAGAGCAATTAGGTGCACAATTTAACTTTTCACTGAAGGCTTAGCATCGAGAGCTAGAAATTGATAGAATGAAAACAATTACTATTCTTACAGAAACTTATTCTGGAGCTTCATTTCGATCAAAGAATTGCATGAGGGGGAGAAAAAACAATTTTGCCTAGATTAAATGGAATTAGAAAACAATCGTTTTGTTTGAATTCATTTTGTGTTGAAAAGAAACAAGATACGTGAGGTAAATTCCAATTGTTGAAATCTTTCCTTTTTTTTTTTTTTTTGGTCTCCGTCTTGATTTTGGGAAAGTAATTAATTTTTGTTCTATAATTGTTCATTATGTTTCGAATTTTTGTAGGTCATAATTAATTTAATTTTTTTATCCTGTAATAATTGTTTCCACTCGAAATTATTAATGTTTTTTTTTTTTGTTATTGCTTGAAATTACTAATTATTGGTCTTATTTCACATTTAAAATTTTTTTTTATCAAAGTAAAAATTATTTTAGAGAATTTAATGCAATATTGTAATTTAAGAAATGCATAAACTAATTCATTCACTTACTAAAATGGGAGAGCGATGAATTAAATTAAGAATGAATTTTGTTTTTCGAACATAAGTTGATCAAGGGCTTAATTCCTAACATTTTTTGGCAGGGTGAGTGAGTGAATGTTAACGTCGCACTGTTCAGCTACACGAGGGCTTTTGGCGACGGACCACGTAATTTTGAACCATAGTCAAGTGACGTGGACGACATCTGAGCTGGCATCCATCTCTACTAACTACCACACCACACCAACGGAAGGACGTTTCAGCTCTCGACAGATTTAGCGTGCATCGCTGCCCTACACGACGAGTCTTCAGTGGTATTGAGCTTGAACTCGTTACAAAGCCAGCCACGATCCGATACCTATACCACTCGGCTACAGTGGCCACATTTTTATGCAGGAGATGTTATGGAGGAGGCAGTGGCGTAACGTACACCCCCGAATTGCGGGGGGCAGGATTTTAGGGGGCCCAAAGTCTGACTGACACCGTTGTAATCCTTTGTAAGATCCGACGTGCGGCCTAAAACTTGTCTTTGCAGGGGGGAAGGCCCTATTGTTTTCCGTTACGCCACTGGGAGGAGGCGATAGAATATTGAATATTCAACACATATTTGTTTTAAGAAATTATAAATCGTAATATAATCAAGGTTATTTTTGGTTTCTTATTTAGAAAATTCGTCATTTTCTTTACATGGCTACTCGAATTTTTTTCTATAGTTCATAAGTTCATATATGTTTTTTAAAAGTAAAGTGTACTATACTTAGAAGTTTTTTGTTATAAAATATCTTAAAAAATTTGTCCCAAATGTTTCTAATTTGTAAGATTTTAGACAACTTTTTTGATATCTTCGGTTAAAACTAAAATACATTATTAATTATTATAAAAAACAAGTAATATAAAAAAAAAAATTAAGTCAATTCCTACTTAGGTCAACAAAGAAAAATTTTATTTAAGTTTCTTTTTATCAACTAATTACAATTAATATAAATATGTATATTCTTATGACAGAATCACAATATTAAGTGGCAAAATATAAAGCGATTTTCTTTAAAATTTTCCATTTTCCTTTCTATATAGGGTGTTGGACTATTATTTTTGTATGTTATACTATTTATTCATTAATTAAATTTAATTATTCTTATAAAATAGTATTGCAAAAACTAAATCACATTCTCAGAAACTAGGCCATCCCAGGTGGGATTCCAAACCACGACCTTTGGAAGTCCAACGTGCTATCCATTGCGCTACCGGGACACAACGAGCGATTTTCCTTTTTACATATGGTGTTGGACTATTATTTTTGTTTGTTACTATTTATACATTAATTAAATAAAATTATTGAATTAATATTTGAAAAAACTGTATTAAAACATCACGTGTCATCCACTGCAAGTTTTAAAAAAATGTATTTGAACTTGAATGAATGAATGGAAAGTATTTTATTGACGATTGAAAATTTGAACAAGATATATATATATATATAGGGAGAGTGTGAACTAGTAGAAAAAATTGAATAAATAAATGTGTTAAACTGATACACTTAATGCCACACTGTTACAACACTCTTATGGAATCAATATTTCCATTTTAACTATCATTAAAATGAAATTGAGACAAGTATTGCTATATCAAAGGAAGACCGTAAATGAAATGAAACTCAAAAAGTAGCAATGTTTCGTATGGTCGCAGTAGCCTAGTGGTTATATTCATTGGCTCGTGGCCGGTGTGTCATGAGTTCAAGCCCTAGTGTCTCTGAAGACTCACTGTGTAGAGGGGTTGATGCTCGTTTCATCTGTCGTGGCTCAAAGTCCTTCCATTGACGTGGTAATTAGGAGAAGGTACTGTCAGCTTAGATGTCGTCCTCGTCACTCATGGTTCAAAATTATGAGGTCCGTCGTCAATAGCCCTTGTTTTGCTTTATAGTGCAACATTAATAAACACTCACTCACAGTGACCTTAGTAGCTGAGTGATCATGATCACTAACTGTTGGCTGTGGTGTTGAATCTGTCCAGCCATGAGTTCAAATTCTGGTACAACTACAGATTCTCCCTGCAGAGTAACTACTGCTCGTTGAAGCTCTAATTCAGTGATTCTCAACCAATTTTTGTTGCCGTACACTTTTAACAATTTCAAAATTTGGCGGCACACTAACAATAAAATAAGTTTAAAGGATTTATCTATAATACACTGTAAAATAGTTTATGATAATAATATTTTCAATATTAATTAAAATTATCTGTACGAGAAACACAATAAAATTTTTATCGAGTAGTTAATTACAAATTAATTATAAACATTCATTTAATGTGAAATTTGAGCTTGATGATTTTCGATAATTTCGTTTATTTTGGGTCGTAAAAATGATAATGTCACTTTCATTTCGTCATCTGCATTTAAGAGTCTCGATCTCTTTTTCATTTTTATATTTGTTAATGCTGAAAATCTGAATTCAAGCAAAAATAAGATGTCGAAAACTGTAATAGTATTTTTAAAGCTTTTTATGGCTATTATGAGATAATCGCCTCTGATTTTGATTCAAAAAGAATTAATTGACTCTTCCGAATGTTTTGAGATTAAATCTCGATTTTTACACACAGAGCGAAGTTAGTTTTTCCTCTTCATTCAAAGTTACTTCATATACAAATGTATCCGTTACCACAAATGAATCACAAATCCAAGCAAATTTTTGAAGTGGTAACTTCTTTAGGCGCTTTTTGCTGGAGAGTGAACTTGAATGATGCGTTTTAAAGAGCCAAGCATTGTTACGCTCGGGTTTGTAACACGCTCGTAACAATAATAACAATACTACTGAATAATTTGGGTTTAATGAGTCATGTATCGGAGAAATTCGTGCAGCGAAATGTAAAGCAGAAAATGGACAAATAATTCTAATGGTTACTGTTTATATTTCATCAAATTAAAGTGTATAGAAAAATATCGAATTCATTCACAAAAATTTAGTTCCCTACATTGAAGCCGGATCAACTCTTCTGAACAAATTACCTATTATTTTAAGTGGGGATTTTAATATAGAATTTTCAATGGACAAATCAAAGCCTTTAGTAGATTTTTTAAAATCAAAATTCAATTTAATTATGTCCAATGATCCAAATGAAAGCACGACAAAGTACAGAACAACGCTTGACAGAGTTTTTTTTTTCTTTAGATATTTAAATAATTTTTAACTGAAGTATTTATAACCTATTTCAGCTACCATAAACCTACGTATATTGTTTCCTTCTTAGAATACAACTAATTTACAAATATGATTGTATATTTAGCAAAAAAATATTACTTTATGAGTACAGAATATAAATATATAATTTTATAGGACAGTACTAATATCCCCTTGTTTTTTATTCTTTTAACTCTAATCCCTGAAATAACATTACAAAATTTGAAGTTATCACTTCTATCGTGTGGCCATATACGCACACACATTCTTTT